TTTTTTTTTTTTTTTTTGAATAGTTTTTAACATATTTTTAATGATTTCAAAAGAAATTTAAATACAAACAATTATCATTTTTCGTTTATTTTTTTCAATAAGGTGCTATATAAGTAAATTTATGTAAATATATTTTTGGATGCATTTAACGATAATTTCTCAAAAATATATTAATTATTTGGAAAATTTTCATTTAAAATTTTTCAATTTATATAAGCGAACCACAAAATGATAGTCAATAACTGTACAATGAAAAACACCAATAAAAAATTTCTTCTTCACTGCTTACATACATATCAGAATTATTGTAACCACATAATTATAAATTACGAGATTTACCTTAATTTCGGTTTATTTCCTATACTCTACTCACCATCAAAATGGACTTGTAAAATTACATCAATGATCATATCATTCTATTTGTGATAACCAAAAGTATGCTTGCGTTATAGTCTGATGTAATATGAACGGCCCTTCCATCCGTTTGTTATTGCAACGCTCAAAACAGGCATAAAAATCCAGACATTGTTTTAAGTACAAATTTATGACAGTAATCCGCGAAAAATATCTATTTATCTTTCCATTACTGAAATATTGTATGAGTAATCCAAAAACAGCAATAAAGAATCAAAAATTTGCACTTATGCTGCCAGTTTAACGCGGAATTAGTTCATGTTAATGATTTACTGACTACAATAATTTTATATGATAACCGAATTTAATACAAAGCATTTTCCAGAACCTTTCGAAAGAAAAATTTGTCCGTCTTGACCAACTTACGCGCCCATAACATATCGTTCGGCGAAGCCGCAGTTAGCAAACGTCTAAGGTGATGTATTAAAAGTGTACACATAAACATCAAAAATTTCGTTTAAGATGGTGAACAACAAATATTGGCCTTAAGGCGAATATAACTTTCTATCTCTCGTTGCTTATTTCATAACGTCCTTTTTTTTTATATTGTCTCGATTGTCACAAACTGTTATAGATGTGATTGCAACCTGGATCGGTTAACCACATTAATTATCTAAAATGAATTAATTTTTTCTGGAGATTTTCTGTTTTCGAGTCAATTCGTTGTTAAAACCGATAAAAAATAGTGTTAATTAGTAATAATCTATGGTAAATAATAAAATTTTCACAAAACTGTAACAGTGTTAATTAAAAAATAAAAAATGACAGCAGTAATAACGACGACAACAACAACAGAAACAATTGTAACAACTCAATATAACATTTATCCATAAACTATTTATTACAACATATTGTAAATGAAAAAAAAAAAAATTTTAAAGAAAAAAAATAAACAGACAAACACATCTGCAAGCACACATAAAATTATGTATGTATGTGAGCAAAATACAATACAAAAATCACATACAAAATATAAAGTTATATGCAAAATACTTGTACACCATTATATGTCATGTACACACAATTACGAAACAAGAATAACAACTAACGATTATTATTATTATTATTATTAGGTTTTATTGCGTATATGTGCACATCGCACGTACACATTGTAAGTTATTTGTATTATTATATTATTATCATCAGTGACTATAAATCTGAGAGAAAAATGTTATAAAAAAACAGGAAAACAAAATTACATTTATTGAAGCGAATAAATAAATATAAATAAATAGTTGAAATTAAAAAAAAAAAAAAAAAAAACAACAGCAGCAACAACTAAAGGAAACTTTTCTTTGAGTTTTCACTCTAACTCTGAAAAACACTTAAGACTGAATGAAATGAGTAAATAACACTTCAATTCGCAGCAGTAATAAGTAAGTATTTCACGACTTCTCGCGAAAAGTTTTACAATTTAATTTCGCCAACAAATGAAACAACATTTTTTTCTTGCGATACTTTCCAGGAATATCGTTGCAACTATTTATCGTAAGTGTTTTGCAAAACTGCGAAAGAGTGAGATCATTGAATCTTCATATATGACAAAATCCATAATATTCAATTATTTGACCGTGATATATACTATACTATTACATCAAATAAGTATGCTTTTTTACATAGCTTCGAGCTAAATATGATCTACATTTTCAAATTACAAACAGAAGAAAATAAGTATAAATTTACGATATTTCCATATTTCCATTTCATTTTTATATCATAAGCGAACATATAAAATAGATGATCCGCAAGCTTTAAAAAAGGGAGTAACATTATGTCACTTTTTGACAACATTCCTTCCATTTCTTAATACCTATCAAAAATCTTGCAAATAATCTCTTTCCATTTCTTATCGATTGTTGTTGTAAGTCATTTACTAGCTTTTGGAAAGAGAGCGAGTGGCAGATTTCATTGTGTAAGTAACAAGAAAGGACAGTAAATGCAATCATTGGCCTTATAAGTGCATTTATATAGAGAGACACAGAGAGAAAGAAAGAGCAATGTAAATTACTTAAAACACTCAAATAATCCAAATGAAAACAGCTGGAATCAAATATTATGAAGAAACGAGCGTGTAGAAGCAATTAAATTGAAGAATTATTTATTATTTGCTAAGCAAGGGCGAACTTTATTTCGATTGCAGAAACAAAGAGTGAATTGTTTTGTAAGCAAATAAAACACGCAAAAATGTTAACGATGCGAAAGGTAAGTTAGAATTGCATTTTAATTTAAGATGTTCTATAGTATTATATATAAGTAGTCTAGAATATATTGAAATATTTTTTATCGATTACGATAGCAAACAAAAATTTTTGAAATCGAAGTTAATTCCATCGCAGCAAGAACAAGAAGAAGAATAATATGTACTTTGGTTTTGATAAACCTTACACAAAACGTTTTTGATTACACGTTTAAACTTTTACGCAAGAACCCCGATTAAATTTAAGAAAAAGGTAAGAAAAACGTCATCGAATGTAGCTAGTTTTTGATACTACTAGTCACTATAACTATGAGGGATGATGATGGTTGAAAACGTCATTCCAAATATGACAAATGAGAACAATATCTGATTAGAATTAATTATGATAGAAACTTTACGCGCTTCGTATATTATAAAAACCCTTGAGCCGATAGGTAGGATAAGAGGGCCCTTTTAGAATAAGTTAGACTAAGAGTAAGCTAGGATTAGGCTAAGAGAAGTATAAGTTAAGGAAAGAGAAATGATAGTTAGTTACGTAGAATTAGCTTTAAACCGAGATTTATTTAAGTTAGGATAAAGTAGGTTAGGGGAGTCGATTGCGAGGGTCGCGAGAGACCAGACGTCTCGTTAGGCTTTTAAACTAGAAATGCGGAGATAATTTTTAACGCGAAGTGAAATATGAAATAATAAATTGATAAATATTATAAAGAACTTGAAATACCCTGTATAAATTTGAATGAAGGCAACCTGACACGGCTGAGCTACCCCAGCACCACGTTCGGGCAAAAATAGCCCTCAAAGTGTATGGTTAATTAGCGTGAAATTCTAAATTGATTAATTCATGTCTGTCCGTCTGTGTGGTGTTTGTTGTTGACACTGCCCTGTTCGCAAAAATCAAGATATCGACTTCAAATTTGGTGGAAACATTATAAGTTTTTGCACGCTGGTTGGTATTGAAAGTGGGCCACATTGGTTAGAACAGAATATCGCAGTGTAGCGTAAATTGAACGCAAGTTCTTTTTTCTTAACAAAAATTTTGGATTTTTGCTCATTCTTAAGAAATTATAAAAGTTAGAAGGGTCTGTGTTGCTAGTGCTCAATGTCTTTTTTTTAGTCTACTTCTTGTATTCAGCACAAACTTGCAAAACCTTCCTAAGGTTTGTTGTAAGTTGTTGCGATTAGGAAAAACATGGATCAATGCTACCTCACCCATTATCGAAAATTTGGCACGCTTTCTCCTTGGACGGTTAGTATTGCGTATTTGGTTGGTCACTCGATAACATTTATATTGTTACGAAAATCCCAAATTCAGTTAAATGTCAGCTAAGTAATTTTCGTAAGAATAAATTCCCTAAAGAAGGGAAAATCAAATGAGCATTCGCAGGCGCCTCATGCAGCTGCAGGCCAAGGAAAACGATTAGTGGAAAAGCAAACAGGTAAAAGCTAAGTGCATATTCGCAGGCTCGTCGTGCAGGTGCAGGCCGATGGAAACGATTAGAGCAAAAACCAGGCTGGAATTAGACCATAACCATAAATTTAGGTATTGTAACATTCTTGTAAAATTGTATATAAATCGAATATTTGTGAAAAGTAGGGTTAGTCTGGCAAGAATGTAGAAGTTGAGAGTACGGCCAAAATAAATTGTAAATAAATATTCCTACTGTTGTGAAAGACAGAGTAGTAAAATAAAAGAACTTTGATGTGCATTTCTCTTGATCAATATATCCACGATCTAGTGATACGGACTATATCTTGTAAAAAGCGAATTTCATAACAATATTATATCCTTCATGCTATTAGAATAAAACCCACTTTTTTTTTAGGAAATTTTATTGTAATTTACATAGAATCTTGACTTTGATGTTTTTTATTTAATTATTTCTTTTGGTTTTTCTTCTTTTTTTTTTTTAAATCTACGTACTTTTGCCTAAAACAAGTATACAACACACAACTCACAGAAAAAATTGCCTAAAATTTTAATTTGTGTAATTCTAAAAAGAGTTTAATTAGAACGTCTTCACTGCATTTTTCAGTGTTTTTAATAAAAATTTAAAATTAAACATTTCTCTTAACATCTATATTTGGGTATTAAAAGGACGTGAAAATGGGGAACTAATCAAGACATGAATTATATTTACTTTTAAAAGGTGCCTAAGGTGTGTGTGGCAGGGGTGCGCTGTGTTAAGTATAGAAAGTTTAAAGAAAGTTGAACATTGATAAAACGACAAAGGACAGACAATAAAAACAATTATTATTGTAAATCAAATAAATGCTTTAAATGATTATTTAGGCTTTTTTTAGAGGCAACGTTACAGTCAATACCGGAAAAAAAACTCAAAATAAATTAATAAAACGATGTGATACAGGATAGTTCAAATCATAATTTAGTGCTTAAGTAATATATTATAAAAAAAGTGGAGGTAAACTTTAAATAAGTAATCTCTTCTTCATTCTCTCCCTCTATATTTCTTTCTTACTTTCTTTTTCAATTCAAATAAACGGACTTGTATGATTTTGTGGGGATTAGTGCGTTGTTTCATTTGACTTGGAGTTACTATTTATTGGTTAGAAGTGAGGACATCTTTCTTATGCTTATTTTGAAATATCGGGATGATGAAAGCCTATCACTTGCTGTGTCTTGCTCTCTTATATACTTGTGTGTAATTGCGAACTGAACTTTTGGGTTTTTTTTTTTTGTTTTTTTTTAAATGTTTGCTGGACTCTATTGCTCTCTGTATTATGCTCTCTCGTTCTCTAATTGCGTAAGTGTATGTGTTTCTATTTGCAAAAAAGTTTACTCTTTGACGCTTCTGCTTATCCGTTTCGTTTCATTTTAATTTGTTGGTATTATCATCAGTCCTGCATCTGAAGTCTTGTAATTGAAGCGCTTTCGTTTACTCTTGGGTGGATCGTTAAGAGTTTTTTTACTATATGCTTTCATAAGCCAAGTTCAACTCAACTCTTTGAGATTTTGTGTTTACCAGCGGAAGATTCGGCTTTCGCCAAAGCAGCTTCGGCCATTTTCTTGTATTTGCCAGCCAAGTCAGGTAAATCGTAAGCAATGGCCACATCAAGTTTGTTGAGAGGGCAACCACGGAAGTACGAACAAGTTTCGGATAATTTTTTAAATTCGTATAAAGGATTTAAGCGGAAGAAGTCACGATAAACCTCGGGGTCGGGTAGATCATATCGTGAAATATTGGTGAGAGTCGAAAGACCCTCATAAATGTGATAGTTTTGCGGATTTTCAATAATGTTGTCCGCAACACGTTTCTTATTGCTAAATAACGTTTTGTGGTTGAAATAAGTATTAAGATAGCAGTCCACCATTTTTGCATGATTACGTACGCGCACCTATAAACGTAAAAAGAACGAGTGACAATAACGAATTTTTACATCTCTTAAGATATTATACTCACAGCAAATCGTCGCGCACTAGCAATTTTGTTTTCAATTCTTCTATCAACCGCTGTACGTAAATCTCTTAAAAATGCTCTTTCTTGAGCTAACAATAAACGTGCGGGCGATCCTTCTTGGTAAGGATGAGACCACAGCGATGTTGTGTAAATCAAAGGGGGCTGAGCTGAAGACATCAAGGGCGAAATATTCCAAATTAAAGCGCTTTGCACACGTAACAATTCTTCAGGTTTTACAATGTCAGCTTTATTCAGTACGATACGCGTTTGATACTCGCGGCCCTTTAATTGATCTAATATAGCTTCTGTTTCTGGACCCACGTCTAGTTTAGTAGGGTCGTAAACTAAGAATATAATGTCAGCGCGATCAATAAACCATTGACAGGCATCATTGAAAGGAAACAAACGGGCAACTTGTTTGCGCACTTCCAAAATACCAGGTATCTCCACAATATTAACCTTTAAAAATGCCGTATTAAAGAAAAGTGCTTCATTATAAAATTTTGTACTTGCCTTCTCCAATAGTTTATTAGGCAGCTTTAGACCACGTAAACGATCTTCTAGACCTTGACCGAATTTCTGTAGACCAGAAAATGTGTAATCAGCAGCCAATTGAGTTCCTTCCAAAATCTCGGTATCATTACCCCACATTAAAATATTAAAATAAGCCGGCGACGGTTCGGCACCTAGTCATAGATAGTTTGGGAATAAACTTTTTAGTTTCTAAAATTATTAATTATTATATTATCTTTTACCAGATCGTAATGAGTGGGCGGTATATTCATTGTCGGTTAAATAGTTGATAATTGTAGATTTACCACCGGACCAAGGACCCATAAATAGTACCAATGGTTTTGAGAAAATTTCTGGATCTCCAAAGTGTCGATTGCTCAAATCCCTATATTTGTATAAAGTTTCTAAAGGCTTGATAGCATTCTCATAGATGCGCTTAATATCTCGTAGAATAACGTTGGCTACGCTATCAAAGGCATTTTCACGAGCAAACGAATCTTCGCCAAGTTGTAGCAATTCGGTAATGTGATCGCGACTTCTACGATGTTCGGGAATCTCACCTTCCTTTGTATAGAATGATTAATGGTTAGAATCAATCAATATGACGTACTTTATTTTTAAAACTTGCCCAAAGTAGTTCGTCTTCGGGTTTAGTGTCCTCCTCCTCCTCCTCTTCTTCTTCCTCTTCTTCTTCGACTTCCGGCTCTTTAGCGTCCTCTTTTGTTTTCATCTCTTTGCCATGCTTTTTATCATCTGCTTCGCCGTCACTATCATCCTGAGCATTTGGCAAACCGTCTCCATCGCGATCTTCATCATGTTCGTTGAGAACGCCGTCACCATCGATATCGTCGTCCATGTGGTTGGGAACGCCATCGCCATCCACATCATCATCTATGTGATTGGGAACACCGTCACCATCTACGTCTTCATCTTCGTGATCGGGTATGCCATCACCGTCCATATCAGGGTGAGTTTCCACGGAACGTCGTGAACGTTTAACGACTTCTTCTTCTTCCGCGACTTTTTTGGTTACTTTATCTGTAGTTTCTTTTTCCACTTGTTCTTCCTCAACTTTTTCAGAAGTTTCTTCTTCGCTTTCAGTTGGCACAGCGCCAGGCTGTACATCTGCTGGCTCGTGGCCGTCTTCATCGTGCACATTCGGCACACCGTCCCCATCAATGTCACGGTCATGTCTATTAGGTATACCATCACCGTCCATATCTTCGTCAAGTTCATTAGGAACCACGTCACCATCAATATCGTTATCTTCATCGTTAGGAATGCCGTCGCCATCAATATCGAAGCTTTCGGGTTCTTCTTCATTTGGCATGCCGTCACCATCCTCATCCTGGTCAGCTTCGTTAGGAACGCCGTCGCCATCAATATCGTGATCTTTCCTATTGTCCACTCCATCACCATCGATGTCTTCGTCGTGGACATTTAGCACACCATCACCGTCAAGATCGTTGTCTTCATAATTAGGAACACCGTCACCATCTAAGTCATGATCTTGCTTATTGTCGACACCGTCTCCATCTATATCCTCGTCATCTACATTCGGAACGCCGTCGCCATCAATATCTTCGTCCCGATGATTGGGAACTCCATCGCCGTCAATATCATCATCCTGATGGTTGGGAACACCGTCGCCATCTAGATCTTCATCATCTTCGTTAGTAACACCATCCCCATCAATATCTTCGTCATCTTCATTAGCAACGCCATCACCATCCATATCACCATCATCCTCATTGGCTAAGCCATCACCGTCCATATCGCCGTCATCTTCATTAACAACTCCATCCCCATCCATATCATTATCATCTATGTTGAGAACACCGTCCCCGTCAATATCTTCGTCTTGGTCGTTGGGAACGCCATCTCCATCAATATCGTTATCATCGCTATTCATTACACCATCACCATCGATATCGTTGTCTTTTTCATTGGGTATACCGTCACCGTCCATATCGCTGTCGTCTACGTTGAGAATACCATCTCCGTCAATATCATCGTCTTGGTCATTGAGTATACCGTCGCCATCTATGTCTTCATCTTCACTATTGGGAATACCATCACCGTCAATATCGTCGTCCTGGTCATTGGGTACACCATCGCCATCCAAATCATTGTCTTTAACATTGGGAACACCATCGCCGTCCAAATCATGATCATGCACATTTTGTACACCATCGCCATCCAAATCGGGATCGTGTATATTCAATATGCCGTCGCCGTCTAGGTCTTCGTCTTCCTCATTAGGAATAACATCACCGTCAATGTCGTCGTCTTCTTCATTAGGTATACCGTCACCGTCTGTATCGACTGCTTTGGGTGATCGTTTCCTACTATCAGTAGATGGCTGATCGCCTTGCATTAGTTCATCTTCGTTTTTGCCATCTCCGTCAGCGTTTTCATCGATTATTATTTTGCTACCACCGGTTGTGTCAGGACTAGGAGCTAATTCTTCTGTGTCATGTAACGGGTTAAAAAAAAAATGTCGAGTTTTTAATCAAAATTATATGTAATGAGTACGTGGCTTCTGGATTTAATAATACATTTAATAATGTAAAGGAACACATTCAGGGACCATCTCTCAAACGCTGGCTTACCTCTTTCTTCGCCAGTTTTCAGTTCATTCAAAGCCTTTTCAATATAAGGACGGCATTCTGATTCAGTCGGCCCATCGGAACTAGCATAGACATCTGTAACATAAAGAAGTTTTGAAAAAATGAGAAACTTTGTGAAAAAGACAGGGAAAAGATTTTTTTTTACTTGTATTAACGAATGGTAACCTGCGTCACTGTAATTGTCAAGTAAGTAATCAAAAGTTGTATATTCTCGCAAAAATTCGCAAAAAATTAAAACAATTAACTCAAAATAATCATACCTAAGACGAGAATCATAAGTTATCTTTAAAAATGGGTGCGAGCTATCTGTAGAGGTAAGACAATCTCGAAAGGAAGACGATAATTTTAAACCACATTCAGTCAAATAAGTATCAGCAATTATATAATAAGTAATTAACGTTCATTATATCCTACATCACTTGTGGTATTGGGTACATTACATTTGTGCAGACGTACCTAACATTCCGGAGGGCCTAACATTTCATTACACCAATCGATTCAGAATCATTTTTCGAAGCGATCTAAGCTCGTCTGTTCGTCTGCGCGCCTGATGTCTATCCGTCTATAATTGTGTTCAATCTAGAGATCGCAATACTTGAGGTATTCTGATGAAATTCAGTCTAACCGTTCGATCACTCCCCATATAACGTCTTCTTTTGAGAATTTCGTTATATAGAAGAAAATTTTTTTTCTAGAAAACTCGCTGACCGGTAGTATTTCAGCATTTTAAATAAGTATGGAAAATTTGGTTTGGCCAGCGCAATGTTTTGAATCGCCTCCCATACATCCGGTCTTACGAAAACTGTAACTTTATATAGTCAAAATGTCTAAATTTCAATATTTTAAGGTGAAAATTGATTCAAAAATAGCAAATTTAGAAAGAAGACGACTTTACCGATACGGCAGTATAGAAAGATTCTCAACCAATGGTAATCCTAATATCCCAAAAAAGTCTAATTGTTAATGTTTTATGATGAAAATTTTTTCATAAGAGCAATTTGATATAAAAGTTAAGTAGACCAAATTTGAAACACATGCGTTTATTTTTTGGACACCACTCGACAAGTTTTAATTTATAATATTTTATGATGTACATCGATCCATAGTAGCAATTTGGCGAAAAAAGGTAACGGTACGAAATGTGGAACTCATAAGTCTCTTTTTTAGACCCCAACAAATATAGAGGTTGTCATGGAAACCCAGCCTTACATAGAGAGAAAGTCAAATTTTCAGTCTTTTATGACGGAAGTTGGCAGGTAAATTAAGTTTGCCAGATATGGAGTACGCCATGCGGTTTTTTGGACATCCTGCAATCTGCGGGCTTTCATGGAGAGTGTGCCTTGCAATGTGCAATTTTTGGTGTATTAATAGGAGAATGTATGAATATCTGTGCTACGAGAAGGGTTGTAGGGTATCTAATGGTCAGCCTTGCTCGGCTGTCATGCTCTTACTTGTTCAAATAGAGTTCATTTTAAAGGAAATTACCTAAAACGTTGACGATTAACTGCAATAAAAAAACTCTCCAAAATTTTCAATAATTTCCTGATAGGATTCGGAATTCGTTTTGAACGTGATGTCTGTAGATTAAAATAAACTCAATCGCGATGATAGGAACACCCCACTTAAGAAAAGGTTTTTCAATATCACGTTCATATATATATATATGCCTCTAATTTGGCCCCAAAGAAAATTTTATTAAATTTTGAAATCTATTTCTTTTGATTAGTAAGACTAGTAAAATTTTTATTTATAATTTATAAAATAATGTAGAAAATCTGTTGTTTACGCATTTTCGAGTTTGCTTATTTATTTTTCTTCTTCCTCCTCGTCGTTTGGCTCAATGCCCATTTCTTCCTACACAAATTTTTTCTCAATGTAAGTTTGCTTTAAAATATCTATTTTTTCTGTCGAGCACATTTACATATGCACGAGTGAGTGAAAGTGGAAATGGATTTCAATGTTTCATTTATTTTACATATTTTTTAATTCTTTTCGTTTTTCAAACTATCTTCGGATGAAGAGAATTTTTTATGCCTTTCGATACAATTTTACTTTCCAACACATTCATATATACACAGGTATGTAAACAAATATAAAAATGCATGCACTCTTGTGATATTTGTGATTCCCCCTCTCCCTCATCCTCGTTTCTCGTTTTATTATTATTTTTGTTGTTATTGCTTTTTATTACATATATTATTACATGAACCACAACAGCAGCAAACACATGTTTTCGATGTAATTTTATCTCATAAACAATTTTCAAATAATTTGGCATTAAATTATCACTTAATATAAAAACAAATTAAAAAAAATTTCTTTTTCTGCGTTGATCACAAGAGGTAATCTCTCATTATTATATATAAAATTAAAAACTTGTTGAAACACATGAATATATGTAAATATGTTTCGCATGTTTCCCTGACATATATAAATAGATACATAACCTTTACGTATAGAAAATTTAGAGAGTAATGAATTAATTTGAAATTATTTAAAAAATTTTTGTTGTTCGCTGGAAATATGAACGTTGTCAAAGTCAAGGTAATACGTGAATTATAGACCATTTTATATACAATATATATACATATACATATGCTTTGCTACTTTTCAGGATGCGTCGTAAAGTTTGCATTTCTCACATTTTCGAATCCCTTGGCGAATTAACAATTTTCGCATATTTTCCGAATTATTAAAATTCGAAAATTTGTAATTAATGTTTGACTTGAACTTATGTATTTCCAAAGATGAAAGAACACCGCCAACAACTCAAGGCGGAAACGGTCTTTCGTATACTAACTGTATTAATATGTGTTCTTTAACATATTACGAAGTCAGAGTGTACACTTGTCTAAAACATTCCATTGATTTCAGGCCAAGCGATTATTAAAGTTGGTGAGGTTATTATCAACGATAGAGCTCTTTTTGGTGCTTAAAAATTTCTTTAACAAATCACATGAGTAGCTGAAGTATTGGATCAATTCATTAACCCATGGTAGGACTTAACAGTGTGGAAAGCAATTTAGAAAAGCGAAAATTCTTCAGTCAGCGGGGTCTGAGTATAACTCTCAATGGCGACCAGCTTTTCCTACCAATTTTTGGAACGAATATGTGGAACGCGATTTTCCCGAAGTATCATTTTAACAGACCGCCGGCAGTTGTTAAAGCAAAGCTCTATAAAAGTAAAGCCATAAACAAAATTCTGTTTTATACTCACTACCAAAAAGTAGGGTAATATTTTTGTTGAAATATTTCTAAAATAGAGAACGACGCTTCAGAAACTTTATACAATGCGATCTTTATCAATATCAAACTGTGAACTGCAAAACAGTCTGTAAGTCTCTTGTCTCTTTGTGTTTCTGTCGTCCGCCCACCTATGTTTACGTCCACGGTTCATTTTTGCAAAAACATTGTATTGCATTGCGTAAAGGTTGGTATCGAAAAAAAGTCAGATGAAAAGACACATCTACAGTATAACGTAAATCGAGACCGTCTATATAAAAATTAAAAATACATAACGTTACATTACATTGTGGGTGATTGTATAGTTACGTGTACAAAAAAGAATTAGTCAGTCGCAGAGAAATACATCGATATTTCTTTTTTTTAATTTTTTTCAATTTGTTTCCTTTTTTAACCAAATTAGAAGGTATCTAGCCATAGTTAAGCAAAGACAAGTTTATGTCTCGTTTTTTAAAAAAATTGTTTCCACAGAAATCTCCTATAATTGCAACCCTGATGAAGGTGAGAAAGAATTATCTGTAAAGAGAGTGGGGTGAATTAACCTAAACATAAAATAACATCAAATACTTTGATCCACATTCAAATTATTCCACATACGAGCACCGCGGTTAAACTACGGACACGCTTTAAAGAATGTTAGGAAAAATTGGATGGAAAGAGCATTACAACTATCTAATCCATAAAATATTTTTTTATCTGGAGCATAAAGAAATGTTAGCTTGGTTATTTGTTTTGTCACACATCCTAAAAATTAGGAACACACGATTTGCCCAATAATTTTAGTCTTTTTAGATTTGGTTCCAAAAGTTGTTCCTGAAGTTTTCAAAAGTTCAGCCTCGATCGGCTTATGGACTATAGAATTCGCCAAGTGATATCCTTAGTTTCAAATAATCATTTTAAGATCATGGTTGAGTTGAGAAATGCGAGGATGCGTACCCAAGATTTGTCCCAAATAGAGCACAATTTTTTTACTTTTCATCAATGACTTCCAAGAACTAAGTATCTGCAGCAAATTTGCTCAAACTAAAAAAAAACCAAAGAAAAAGCCACGACTGTGATTCTAAGTTCGTGATACCTTATGAAAATTGCATCCTTACCATAACATTAACGCTTTTATAATAAGAAATCTGAAAAGAATGTGGATTTAATATCCACCGCCATTTGGCTATTAGACTTAGAAATTATTCGCGAACAATACAACATAACGAACACAAAATACCCTGATTGGGTTTTATTTGCGTCCAGATGACCGTTAAGTCCATTTAGTTCTCGTATGTTCCGTTTCTTTTTCGAAGTTCCAAGAAGTTAACCTACGAACCAAATATTTTTAGTTTACTTTGAAATTGGGCGGCCGAAAAACGACTTAAATTGAAAGAATTTTAAAAGAAATTCTAAAGGCTCTTACATGTTTGCTGGCGATTGTCTCTTCCATGGGATGTAAGTCGAATATAGTGGAAGCAAGAAAATAGAAAATAGTTCAAATCTTCGATTTTCGCGTATAAAACATTTTTATTATCTAGAGAGCGAGGGAGAGAGAGAGAGAGAGAGAGAGAGAGAGAGATTGAAATAAATCACCAGTACATTTCTGCCACCGAATGTGTGTTTAGCACTGGCAGACACATAGATCGACAGACAGACATACAAACAATGGGACAGGCAGGCGAACAGGCGGAGCAGACGGACAGGATTAGATGCATTCCTAGTTTGAAACTAACAAACACCACGTTTCATAGAGTTAATGGCTGTTGCAAAGATTTTGAAAAAAAACGCTTGCAACTTTGCTATGACCGGTAAAAGAATCCATAAACTAGAACTAAAACTTGCTTCGTTTTCATGAAAAGCGCAAAAATTGCCGCAATTACTCTTAAACATCGTAAAGATTAGCAAATACATTTGATTCCAACGTAATAATTCATTTTCCTACATTTTACGTAATCTCTAAAACTTATTTTTGAGTGTTACATATGGATTACATTTTATATTTTTGCATATACACGCTACTATAGCACATAAAAAAAACTCTTGTATTTGGTTTGGCAAAGTGTCTTGTTTACAATCTTGTATTCTTTTTTGAAATAGCTTTTAAAGAAAAAACATCAGGAGAAAGAAATCATAATTTTACGAACTAAAAACCATTTCATCATTCTCCTCTTAATTTCTACATGCTTTTTATAACTGTGTGAATGTATACTATACATTATTTGGCTTATTTTCAGGTTTTTGCCTTTTCTTTAAATCTCATTATTAAAGCGATCTCTCATTACTTAAATAATAAGCATCAATTTTAATTATCAAGGCTACCGCAATCCCACATTCATCCCAATCAACAAATTAATTTTTTTTTAACGTGATGCAGAAATTTTATAATGCAACGTTTTAAGCATAGATTGGGAGATTTGAACTGAAACGTCTGCAAATTTGAGATGTATCAGAAATTGTGGAAGAGCACATGAACTAATTTTGCTGATTTTGGGAATTTCATCTGAATGGTAAAAAAGGAGGTTGACAGCGCCCACACTTTGAAATCTTATCCATCATAGCAACGGAAAGATAAACAAATAAGCCTTAATAGACTCCACTCTCCATACTAATTAGAAACATACACTATTGTAACTAAAAAGAAAGATCAATATTCAAATTAAATTGCGCCGATTGCGCTGCGATAGACGTCTGTAGCCAAATTCAGATCATAAACCATTAAAGTGTTTTTGCCGATTTTTACAAAGTTGCATTACACTTTCCTTGCGAAATAAAATGAGATGAGATTTGGATCTACGCATGCGATCTGGAAACAACCCATTAATCAAGCGAATATCGTGTGTAAGACGAAAAATCGCGCCAAAGACATTCAAAAATCAAGGTGATGTTAACAGTATTCTTCGGTTATCGTGATGTTGTGCGCTTTCACTTCCTTTCGCCGTCCCAAAGTATTAACGTAAAGTGTAAGGGATCTTATTTGAGTTTGAGGATTACTTTGGCGGTAACGAAATACATTGCAAAATGAAAATTTTAATTTGGGACGTACCTTTCGGACACAGTAGTGTGTAGTTTTTAAAAGAAATCTTTGTGATTCTACACCAGGAAAAAGAGAGAAAGAATCGAAACGTCTTCTCGTCTTAAATATCTCAGGTATAATTGTTATCGCGTGTGCAAGCAAATTCTTGCGCCTTTTTTTTTTTTTACAAACTGCCTTCTTGTGAAAGTTTTGGATCCTATTATATTTCTCGTATTCCCCACGTCATTCCTTGACATTCAAACCACAACTTTCCAACTAATAAGACAAAACGAAATTTGGTCCATATTAATATGTTTGTGTTTGCAGTCGTTTGAAGGTTTCTTTTTCATAGTAGGGTCTCTATGAGTTTCAAATATTGGATAAAATTGATCAATTTGAAGACATAATTAATTTTTAATTCGCTTGTTGTACAATAGTAAGACTATGTAAAGATATTTAACGGTCAGAAGCGCTTGAACTAAATACTGGTTTTTTATTATATTAATATGTTTATGATAAATAGGTATAATTTCGAAATCATCATCGTTATGAAAATTATTCCGGACTACTGATTTTACGAATAAATTTATTGCATCAAGCTTAGACAACATTGATCTATTTATCGGGCTCCCCCCGCCAAGAAGGTTTCATTTTAAGCACTTTATGACGAATATAGTTGAAGACTTTTATTAAGCCAATTGGCGTAATTTATGGAATAGTCGAACTTGTCCTTTGTATGAGATGGAACAAATAATTAAGGTAAGATTGACCTTTCGTCGAAAAGTATTGATGATTGAAGACCGCCAAGGACAAATTTCAAATATAAAACGTGAATAATTGTTAATAATGGTCTACATAAAGTTTTGAGTTTCGAGCTTGAAAATTAATTTTTAATTACCTAAATTCCAGATGAAGAATTTGTGAAAAAATAGCGAACCTTCTTCTTGCCTCACTGTCAAACTTGTAAAGCTTACATTTTAATTCTTTCATAACGCATTTCCTAAAAAATATATGCTCTGCGTATAATATTTTCCTTTTATATAACGCTTTAAGAATCTTCGTTGCTCTCTAGAACCGTTTGCAGTTCAGTAATGAAGTACAGTTCCTAAACTAGTTACTTGATTTCCGCGTAAATTATGATATTTTCAGGGAAGCGAACACTTTCACATTGTTCTACGCGAATTTACAAATCTAAACTTTGTGTTAATCACGAGACAAGTATTTGTTCTCTTTTTTTATAAAAGAATATTTATGCAGAAATTTTGAAACACTCTATCATTTGAATTGCAAATTTTCTAATTTTTAAATCAATTAATTTTCTTAATTAAATGGACAAAATATATTAATTCTAAAACTTTTAAGAAAAGTAGAAGACGGGCCGCCAAAGTATTGCCTCCATAAATACACACACATGTATATGTGCATGCAGAGATCTAACTTTATCCATTCCGAGTATATTCGCCCGTCGGTTGCTCGAAAAACATACTTTTAATTTCTAAACAATTTATTAAAGCGTTGCTCGGCCGTTCCCCCTCCTTCGAATTTATTGAAAACAAATTAATCTACTAACTAACGCTTCATTGATGTGAATCATTGCTACTCGCAGATTTTCTTCGTTCTTCAGTTACTGTTCTCCACATGTCTATGTTGGGTTAGTTACCTTTTGATGAACAGAATATGATCCGTTTCTAGTTTTTTTGACGACAACAAGCAGGTAAAGGGCCAAATGAATGAAATCTTACTTTACAAGTCGATTCCTGTTTTGAACGAACCTGCCTTCATGTTCGAAGAACAACTCATACACAATCAATCGCTTGCAATTAGTGCTTAAATTCTGCGCATAAATCTAAAGTCGTTTGAGGGAGAATTTTTGTCCACTCGGTACAAAAATACTTGATTTGTTACATATCTTGATCATGTCCATTTGTCCAGCGGTGTATGTGTTATTAAAACCTTCAAAGTGGCAACAATTTGCACTGAAGGTAGAATCCTATCTTGGGGATGGCATTAAAGATTTTCTTTTTATTAATATAACTACCTATTAGACACTCGGCAAGTCCTCTATGACATATGTTTGCAAGAGGCTATAACGCTGACTATATGTTTTTCCCTACAAAAGATTCTCCACAACATTTTCGAAGTGATTATAAATTTCATGGATTAGTCTATGGTCAACAAACAATGCTATCTGTATATATCGATATAACATATATTTTTATATGTTATTTATTTTTATTTATAGATTTACTTGTGTGTCTTTTTAACTAATTTTAATTTAGACTTTAAACACTTTTCTCATATTCTCTTAAATGATAAGATTTTTGAACAGAACAGAAAATTAGTGAAAGTTAAAGCAATTTTTTTTGATTACTGCAGAGAATCTCTTCTTTCGTGGATTGCTTTGCATTCGATTGTTTTTCGAGTGTTTTCCTTCTTTTGGGTTCTTTATCGAAAATTTTGTCATTTTATTATCTAAACGATCATGTTTTAGCTGAGCGATTTTACTGAGCATACACATTCAATACATTATGTAGAAGGTATTGCTAACAACAACAGCAGCATTGGTCTGCAATCCGCCAAACTAAATAGACAGAGTAAAGCGTCGCGTTTGATTTCAAAGCGTTTAGTTGACCAGTGCACTAGACTGACTATGCTCGCACATACTCAGTTCTTTTTGTTTTTTTTCGATTTCATTTTAAATGAAATTGCATAATAATAATTTCGAGATATTCATCTCAGAAAATATTATTTTTATCTGTGCGTGTATTGGTCGTGCCGTATGATAGCACTCGCGTTTGGGATTTGACAAAATTTTCAATTTTTCTTAATTTTTTTTTTTTTTTTTTGGTTTTTTCTTTCGCAAGGCAAGAATTATATAATCAGAATTTCTTGAGTAGATGCATATAGGTTTCCTATAGAAAATTCATAGTAATAGACCGACATACCGTGATGAGTGGAGACGGCTAGTAATGTTAGCCCCACAAGGAACCAAAACGTTAGCCGTCCCATAATGTGAAACCGCTAATAAATCCTTATGAAACTCCACTCCAGCGTATCCTAGTTTAGTAGTTGTGATTACAATAACAGTTAATACGCTTAAGCGACCACATAAATACTTTTTTTTTTAAATTAATTAAAATATATAAAAAAAATTTAAAACAAATAAATAAAATCACTTTCGCATTTTCTGCATTAATGAAATAATATTTATTTTTTTTTTATTATTATTTACAATGCACTAAAAATAGAAAAATATATTTAAGAAAAAAGAAAATCGAAGTCAGAACGCAGACACACACACACATACACACACACGCACAGTTTATTAATGCTTAGTAAATGTAAAAAAAAGCACATTATATTTCGGTCCATTAGCCGTTTTTCCAGGGTAATCCTTAGTGTCCCCTTTAAAACGACCATAGACCGAAAAACAAAGTATTTTCTTTTTTACTAAAACTTTTTAAGGAATTAATTTCATTTATACAAATATTTATTTTTATATTTCTTTCTTTCTTTCTTTTTTTAATATATAAAAATAACGTTTCTTAGTTAAAAAAAAAATTTTTTTTTAATGTATTTTATGGTTACAGTACGAGTATACGAGTCGATCTCTCCCGGTCTAAAACCAATTCGTAACACAACCAGGAGACTCAAATATTTTACCTTGTGACCGCGAAAATAATTTGATTTTTTCATAGCGAGATATGTCGAAATAAATTTCACAAAAATATTATTTTCGTGTATAAAATTGTTGAGAATATTTTTAATTTTACGCTCTATTCTGTCTGTTGCACTTCTTAAGCAAAAAGAGAGCGCTCTGACCACAAATTTCTTTCCTTTTGGCTGTCGTTAGACCAAACAGCAAAGCAATTCAGAACAAAATCATCAATTTTGCCTAAATTTTTATACACAAACTGAAATTATACAAATACACTGTAAAAATTATTGTAAAGAGTCTCAAAACTTGTCTAAGATGTATTCATTTTAAACATCACTTAACACGCTTTACGACTCTAAAAGTCCTCAGATTTTGTATACTCTCGTGGGTAACTCAAATCCATTTATTAAGTTTGCATAATTTGCATAAATTATTGGATGGTGCACCGTTTCGAATTTGAAGAATTAAACTAATTTCAAACTAAAAAAAAGGGGAAGCAAGGAGAAGGGAAAATAAACATCGCACTTTAAAATAAAAAAATCCCATTTGGCTGTGACTGAACCTTTCATACTTATCGTCTTTATCCTAAAGAAAAGACTGAAAAAAAAGAAAAAGATCATTTTCTTAGTCTACAATAGGGGGTGGGTATCTTGCTCTCAATGTATGTTGTATTAAAGGGGAGACCTTAACTTCCTGCTTTCGTAATAACTTCCTATGATTTTAACAAATATTTGAGCTTGATTTCTCAATTTTTTGGAAAAGAACAATGTTTATTGCAGATATTACGCAGATAGTCCAGAAGAAGAGACAGTTGCGTGATTAAGCGGATTCCGCATCACTATTCAACAATAAATATACCTTAAAGAGTCTGCATAGCTTGCGAAAGAGCGTTACAAAGATTTTTAAAAAAAGACGAACAATTAAGACAATTAATTATATTTGGCCCCGACCGAATTCTTTTGCATCCATCACAGTTACCTTAAAAAAAGCAAAAAAAAGAAAAAAAAAACAAAATTTCGATTCTCTTTATATATGTACCGTACAATTCGTTTTATTTGATACTTATATCGATGACAACGTGGGGAAGAAATGAATTCTCCAGGTGCTTATGTCTGACATATTTTATTTTGAATTAACAAACTTGGCTTGCCGCATTCTACTCTCCGAGTTATTTTTTGTGATACCCATTTCGTTGATATATAGAGAAAAACGAATCCACTGCTTTGTGGCATTCTATCTATTTTAGAATTTCTGTTTGAGGATTTTGGAGAATAATTTTCAACATTCTTATGAGTGATAAGCAGGCAAAAGCAAAAAAGTGAAAAAATGAATATTGGATCGTTTGCAATTTTGCGTGGGCGTGGCTGGTTTCTTCCATTTTCGCGCTGGTTGTGCAGAACTACCCATAGAATACGAAAGAAATTATTTATCGTTGTGTATGTTGCCGTTTATAAGCAAAAAACCTAATTTTTTTTTAGTAAAGATGGTGTCAGGTTATGTTGAATTGTGGTCATGTCCTTTGTCCAATTTGATTCACTTTTCGATACCAGTCAGCGTGCAAGAACTTTTGTATTCTTCGGCCAAATTTGCAGACGATTGCTACATTTTTGCGGCCAGGAGAATGTTTGCCATAGGCTTTTCATAGCCAGACGGACAGACGGACGTGCTTACGTCGAAACAGAATCTCATGCTAACGGAGAATGTCCATGCTCTACGGGATCTCTGAAACTTCCTTCGAAGCCGGTTATAAAAAAGTTGTAATTTTGACACCCTATAACATTGAACGATCGTGTTTGACTTTTTTTTTTAATTTTTAGTCAGATACTACAGAAGGGCCCAATAGAAAAAGCGAGGAAATTATCGATTATACAAGCTGTTTGATACCGTTCACGTCAAATTCATTAATCACGAAATCCGATTATTTATTCGCTTATCCATTTGTCTCTGTTCCTATGTCGGACTACATGTCTGCCTAGGGTAAACGTTCTCAGTCGATCCAATTAGAACTGACATGAGAAATAGCATCATTTGTTAAACGTTATTTTAAAATTTATTTAAAATTATATTATCATTCTCCTTAATTCATATTTTTTATTCTATTTTTTTTTTTTTAAATTAATTTTATTACTTTTACATTTAGTAGTTGTCCAATTTTACCATAAATTTTTCGGTATGTGCATATTGCGTAAAATTGTTTGCAACCCCCAGAAGAAAGCGTCAGAGACTTCACATATATTCGTGATCACCATTAAATTCTGAATCGGTTCGCGCATGTCCGTCTACTCGCATAAATGAAGCTATCGATTTGAAATTTGGCAGAAACATTGGAAGTTCTTGCAGGCACGTTGATACTGAAAATGGATCAAAACGAACGAAGCTGGGAGCGGCTGTGTTTTTCAAAAGAAGTAAAAGATTGGTTTTTTGTTCATTACTCATCAACTACGGCAGATATATATAGAAACTTTGAATATATATTCTATTAATGATGCTGTAGCACCGGTAGAAAGATGAGAAAAATTATCTACGCCTACCTGGTATTATAGTGTATCGAAGATTAATTTTTTCTTCAATATGTTTATAAAGCGGGAAAGCAAGCTTCAAAAAGCAATTGCAAAATGTTTACAAATCGTTCCAACAACTCCGCTCGCACGTACAATTTTCATAAGTTTAGATTGTTTTTATTTAAGTAGTACTAAATATTGTAGTTTAATATACAGCCAAACCTGTTTTTGTGCGGTAGATAGGGACCGCAGAAAAAGAATCGCACAAAAAAAAATATTCAAAAACTTCATAAATAGCTATAAGAAATAATTTTTCACAGCATATTAAAAAAAATTTTTTTATGCGGTAGAGAGGGACCGCATAAAAAAAGTCTCACTTAGAAAATATGTCAAAGCTTCACGAAATAGCAAGAAAGTGCTTTCCAAACAAAATAAATAATTAAATTACACATTGAAACATTTAAAAAAATTTTAACTTCTAATTTTAAACAAGGAGAAATTTTCAAAATGTGCATAATTCAATACTACTCGTCGTAGTTCAAAACGCGCATATTTTTGCGATGAACTGGTTCGTAATCGCTTTCGTCACTTGAAGATACCACAGTTGATTTATTTTTTGTTAACATGTAGTCGGTGATAAGTTTTTGCGACGACGGTCGTTTGGTCAACTGTTTGTAAACGTCGCGATAGCCAGATATACACAATCGAAGCTCTTTTTGGAATTTCAAACTTCTTTGAGAATTGTTATCTATTTTAAGAAAATGCTTTTCCAATTTGCTGCAAAGCTGGATCCCTGTAATAGATTCCGGTTCTTCTTGTCCGTCTTCAAGATCTGTTAAGTTATTGATATTGCCTAATGAAATTGGCTGATGCAATAGGTATGAAAATGGCTGTTGCAACATACACACTGATAGCAAAAAAAGTGATACCAACACAGTTCAAATTGACCTAACCTCTCGGCGAAATTCAATGTGTCGATATTCATATACCGCACAAAAAAAAAAGAATCGCACAAAAAGAATCGCACAAAAAAAAAGAATCGCACAAAAAGAATCGCACAAAAAAAGCGCATAAAAAAGACCGCACAAAAACAGGTTTGCCTGTATATATCTGTTCAATTGTTAAATAAAAATATCCAAAAATCTTTTCTTAAATTATGTTCACAATAATAGCATATTTAATATATTTTTTTTTTTTCTTTGAATGAAGTCCTAAGTAAATTATTCTTTTTATATATTTCCTTGAATACTGGAGTCGACTTGTGTTCAGTGTAGTGCGTGTTTTCTATTCGTCTGCGTTTTTTCAATTGTTTCGGTGTATTCGGTGTTTTTGTGTATTTAACTTCTGTCTTTTCAGTGTTATTGCTAAAACTGGTTAACGCGGATATCGCGTATGTGCTTTTGTTTCGTCTATATATAATAAAAAATAGAAAACAAAAAAACAAAATAAAAAAAAAAAAAAAATTGAAAGCATTTGACACTTTTCTTTAGTAGTTCCCAACCTTCTTGCACAGTTCCCAAACCTTTTCAAGTGAGTAGTTATTTCAAAAATAATAATAAATAGACAACAATAAGGCATAATGGCCCCGGGGCCGCCAGACAAAAACCCGAATAGATTTTATCTATTAAGTGATACATCCCCCCAAAGAAAAAAAAGTAAAAAATCAGATTTTCCGGTGTTGCCGATCAGCGATATAATCCCTATTGACAAAAAATATATTGTTATTTCTTCAACCGATGCTCGAATAACAATTTCCCAAATTAGCCCTTTTGCTATAAAAAAAGCTCTAGATAGCATTACAACATACATCGACTCGATCTCGATTCTACGCGATGGGAATTTACTGGTCCTCGGTGGGAACCCGCGCGCAACCGAAAAACTAATAAAGGCCAATTCTTTAGCTAATCTATGTGCTATTTCAGCTAAACTACATGAGAAACTTAACTCGGTTCGAGGCGTAATTTATGCCCCTTGGTTAAAGCATGTGCCGGAAGATGAAATTGTTCGCGAAATGGGCATTCAAG